GAATATTTCATCTCCATGTTAAGGGATTGTGTTTTTTCTGCTTTCCAGCCTGGGATTCATGGATCGTGGTAACAGCAGAGATTCTCATTTGAACCATCCCTCATGGTTACCCTCCTTTACACACCGTAGTTGCAGTCAACCCACAAGAATCAACAATGCAATCTACACTCGCACCAAACTGAGTGGAGTGTTTACGTGTTAATGCTTGCAAAATGGTGGACTGGCCGACTTGTACAGACGCACTAGTGGCGATAGAAATAAGGGCCTTATAGACCAGTTGCAGTAGTTTACGCGGCCAGCTAAAACCATGACGACATCGGAGTCACCATCGGAGACACCAGCCTCCAATTTAGGAGGATGTTCTTCTAGGCCCAGGCCTCACCTCCACAGCTCAGTTCCCAGTCATGTTTGACGCTGTGCTTAAGCGGATTGGAGGCGCTCTCTTCTTACATGCGTCCGGAACGAGGGTGTATCCGAGGCGGTGGGGCTCAAAACATGGGCGACTCTTGGCCTTCTGATACATCATTAGTCGTGAGGGATTTTAGGCCTAGTCTCTAGCCCAAACATTTTGACAACTTCTTCTCGTCGCCAACCGCCACTTTTAGCTCCACAGACTGGCCTGGTTGCAAAGTTCGAGTCCGGTCGGCCCCGGCGAAACCCACGCACAAAGAGGGCAGGCAATAGGGCCGGAAAGAAATATCACAAAATAGGCGAGAGATTGACACAAATGAGGGAAGGAGTAGGCGAAGGGGGGATCATACTGATCATGATGGCGATGATGATGACGATGAGGATAAAGACAAGGGTTTGGTGGAGGTTAACTGGCAGGGGGAGGGGGTCGAACCGGGGAACGAGCTGCAGGGCCTCGTGCTACAGCCCACGAGGCCTGACGCGGACAGAAGTGGTGGATCTGTAGAGTTAGTTATGAAGTGTGTGTGTATGTTTGTGTGTGTGTGTAGTGCAGGAGGGTGCGTAATCTGAACAGAATGAGGGCGGAGACGGCAGCTGCAGAGAGCTGCAGAAGAAGCGCCTATTGCGTCGTCTTGTCAACTCGTTCGTAGAGGAAGACAGTTTCGACTGCCTGTCTAGTAGTCAAGGCTTGCAACAGACGATGATGCCAGTGTTGGCAAATGCTTCGGCACGCTCCAAGTCGCGGCTTCTCCTCACCTCCTCTTTGTAGTCATTCGTCGTCGGCTCCCCAGCTCCAGCCTCCAATGCGTCTGCCAACTCGGCCAACTGCACATTTGTCCGGTGCTCGACCTGTCGGCACCGAATGGACTGATTTGCCGGTTGTTGGGCGACGACATTCGCCTCATACCGTCCATCCACTTCGTCAGGCTCGGCCAGACGGATGCGTTTTCTTGGCGTCTCTGGCCCGACGACTCCGGTCGCTTCGAGACCAGAAACCGGAGTAGTTGCCAGGGCCGACAACGACGATGATGCCGACGCTGACGCTGACGCTGCGGCAACTGTTGCCATGGAGATGAGACTGTTTAGCACGGACAGAGCCGTTTGCGCCTGGGGATGGGTGGAGTGAAGGGGTTGGTGGTGCGAGTAGACGGCAAGTGGTGGTGGATAGACGTAGTGCGCAGGAGTAGAACCGGTTTCCGCATTGCCATGACGACAGAAATTGGGCATATGAGGAGTGGCAAAGGCGGGGTTGGTGGAGGATGGGTGAGGGGCGAGCAGAAGAGCCTCGTTGGATGGAAGAAAGAGAAAGTGCGGCGGAACCTGCAGGCCGGGCAGCTGGGCCGACGAGACGACCGAGTCCTGATGGGCCGAAAACGGCGACAAACCGACGTCCAGACTCGACGCCGGTACATTAGGCGTGAAGACGCCCATCGAGGCTAGACTGTCGTCTCGGCCGGGCGAGAAGAGTCCTGCTCCGGGATTGGCCAGTTGAGCGTCGAGGCCCGACATGTGGCCGCCGTCGGAGGCGGCCACCACCTCCTCCGGCCGGATTCCTGGGTCCAAAGTTGGGCTGATGGATGGCCAGATCTCCGGATCGCCCGGAGATTGGACCGGACGGCTCGGACGACTCGAACGAGTTAGTCGGCTTGGTCCAACCGGTTGCGATGGCGACGACAGAAAGAGGCTGCAGAGCGCTTCAACCGTGGCCGCTGAGACGGCCGATGGAGCGCCGGGGCAACCGGTCGCAGTCAAGTCGACTCGAAAAGCAGCATCAAATTGATCGGCCGGAGATGAGACGGGAAGCGCCGGTTTCTGACCGCCCATAACGAAGGAGGCCCCAGAAACGGAGGAGGCCGACGAGGCGGAAGAGGCCGACGAGGGTGAGGAGAAGAGTGGCGCCGGTGGTGGTACTAGGCCGCCACTGGTCGTCAGGTCGGTCGATGGTTCCACTTGCGGTTGCGATGGTGAATGAATAGACATCGGTGGAAAAGTCTGCGACAGCACCAGCGGCGAAGGCGGACCCGCCTGCGGTAGCACCGCCAGACACGGTGGCAACAGTTGCCCATCTGCCCAGGCCATGTTACAGGCGGTTAGACAGGACTTGGCCAGCCCTTGAAGCAAAAAAATACCAAACAGTTATTTTCGTTTTTAAAGTGGACTTTCAAGATTAACAGTTGATCTGATACAAGAGTCCATTTCGTTTAAGGTGACAACCGGCATTGCATCATTTTTACACATTTTTCAATCGGACTAGTCAACACGATTCATGGGTTAGCGTCTGTGTAAGTAACCTGGTTGCTTGCGTTGGCAAAAACTAGTTAATTTAGTCAAAAATATCATTTTTAAGAGGCCTGGCTTGCCTTGAATAAACGGCAAACTCAACTATCCGTCTTCAAGAGGTTGTTTGACCTTGTTTTCGCAACATGGTCATATTGGTATAAAAACTTATTGGAACGCACCTAGTCTGCTTTATTATTATGCAGTCCTCTTTCCTAGTCTTATCTCAGTCTCTCTCTTGCTCCGTAAAATCCGTCTGCTCTACCCCTGGTTCATCTATTTCCATCATAGTCTTATCTCAGTCTCTCTCTTGCTCCGTAAAATCCGTCTGCTCTACCCCTTGTTCACCTATTTACTCGACTCCTGCCTAAAACATCTGTCCTACTCCAAGCGATATTCGCTCTAATCTGCGTCCGGGTGACTAATTCGAGGCTCAAACCTCTGAGTGCCATCTTCACGACTTTTTTTGTTATATGGACCACGCCTCTGGTAAAACCGAACTACCGTCAGCCAACTAGCTACGGTCCCCGCCATGTCTA